TCGTTCTACGACTGGAAGACAGGCCATCGGTTCCAGCATGGCGAAAGTATCGCACAGCCGGGATCTCTTGAAGCTGAGGCAGGTGTAATGTGCTCTACATTCGACAAAACTGGCCTGCGTCTCATTACTGGAGAGTCGGACAAGTCTATCAAGATTTGGAAGCAGGATGAGAACGCCACGGAAGAGACACACCCGCTCGACTGGAAGCCGACACTTGGACGACGGAAATTCTAGATGAATGTGGTTGGGGCAGACGAGAAAGCTTGTGCATAGTATCGGAGTTGGAACGGCGTCATGAATGTAAACTATTGGGATCATGGCATTATCTGCATAGGAGGTTATACCAAGTCACGAGGAGCGCAGTCATTTCCACGGGAGTTGATAGCGCTTACAAACCTAGCGCAATACTGAAGCTTCATAAGGTGCTTTCTATGTTCTACACTTGTTGAGTTTACTGTGAGGCTGTCGAACAAATTACTAACCTTGGATCGTTCGTATACTCGCTGAATACGATATACGCGGGTCGACGTCAGCAGTGGTCTAAGCTCGAAAGTGGGTTGTCCAAAGAACACCAAGCCTCCCGCACCCTCAGCCATCCCGCTCAAGATGCAGAAACGGGCGCCACCCGCACGATTATGGCCCCCGTGAAGCGCAGAGATCTGGTCTTCGCCGCTATCGCCGTCTTCATCGCCTGGGGGTACCTGACCCATTGGCAGCCGAAGCTGCACTACCTGCCCTACGCCTTCTTCGCCGGAGTACTCGCGACGCTCGCCCTGGGAGCATGGCTCACCTTCACGATCGCCTGGGACACAGACCTACGAAGCGGAGGAAAGGTTGACTATGGGCCGCGACACGTCGCCTTCGTTGCGCCGGGCAGGTGGAAGGCTGAGCGGGAGGCTTTGGACATGAGAAACATGTATATGATGGAGCCGCTATACCCCGCGTCCTTCATGATATCAGACAGCATCGACGTGCTCATTGGGCTGATACTGCGCGACTTCGTGAAGAGCTGGTACGGCAGTATCAGCAAAAGCCCAACCTTCGTCAACGAGGTGGACAATGCGATACGGGCTGCAATGGGCGAGATCCGGGAACGCATACTGGCGGTAGATATGGTCGAGACAGTCGTGTCGCGCATGATACCTCTCATCACCGATCACTTGCGGGCGTCGTACGAGGCAGAGCGCATAGTCCGCGGACGCAAGCTGTCGCGGAACATCACAGATTCTGAGGAGCTTGATCTGGCCATCGCAGCCAAATACAAGGAGGGTCGGTTGCATCCGGCGGCGTCGTTGGCATACTCGAATACCAAGCCTATACAGCAGCAACATCTACGAAGCATCGTCACGCGACTACTGCCAAAGATTATGCCTGCGAACATGTCTACCAGTCCTGCCGTCAATGTACTGATCAAAGAGCTTGTGGCCTGCGCAGTCCTCTCTCCTGTGATGCAGATGCTCGCTGACCCAGACACATGGAACCAGCTTATGGAGGGCTACGTAAGAACTTACCCGCTCATCGTAGACCGTCGCTAATAAGCTCAGGGACGATCGTTAATACAGGAAAGGAAAACTGTCCGCAAGATTCGAGCTGCTCTCGATGAACATGCTCCGCCCTCACCGAAGAACCCCAAGAACGTCCAATTCCCGAAACTTGCGCCAGGCGATAACGAGCGACGATTCGAACGTTTCATACGAGCCATTAGGCAGACCAATACTCTTGCAGATGCTAGACGATTTCGCAGCGAAGTGTCAAGTCAATTGCGGAAGGATTCCACGGTAGAAGATCAAGACCCTGTCTATCTGCGGCGCCTGGAAACAGCGCGACAAATCTTGGATACAAAGGTCACCAACCTCAGTGCTGGTGGCTCGGTGCGGGCAAAGGTTGCTGCGCAGGAGAAGCCGAAGCACAAGCGTACTTCGTCCAAGTTCGCAAATGCGTCTCTACGCGAAGTGCTGTACGATGCCTCAGGACTGTCTTGCTTCATGGAGTTCATGGACCAGGCGGACCTGATGCGGCTGGTGCAGTTTTGGATCGTGGTGGACGGTTTTCGCAATCCACTGGAAGTAGAGACTGAAGAAGCGCCGGACTATATAGGCTCTCTTCCTGCATGGACAGAGTCTGACCGTGCAGACCTGGCGCAGATCTACGACGGATATTTGTCGAACCCGGAGTTGAAGATACTTCCTGAAGCTCGACAAGCGGTCTCTGAGTTTCTCAAAGCCGGGCGGAAGGCGACTCCTCAGCAATATCATAATGCGCGACGTTCTTTGCTCCAAGCTCAGACGGCGGCGTACGAACAGTTACAGGAACCCTACTTCCGAAGGTTCAAGAAGTCCAACTTGTATTACAAGTGGTTGGCCATGGACGAGGCGGCGAACGCTCAGAATAGCAGTGTGAATACGAAGACTGTAGCGCAAACACTCGACAATTCGTCTGCGGCTGCACCTGCTATGATTCGCACCCAGTCAAGGCAGAAGAGCGCATTGCAGATACCACAAGGAGACTTGCGTCGAGCTGTCGCATCGTCATCAGATCTCAAGAGCCAAGGAGCGGTCAAAAACGCCGAGCCACCTGCACGACGTTCTTTGGATGTACACAGGTCATCATCTACACGCGCACCTCTCTTCGACGAGGACTACGACTCAGACCCTCTCGCACACTCGACTGCAAGCCTCAACTCAGACTTTGGTCATGACCGCTCTAATGGCAACAACACGCAGGTCGTCGATGCTATGCAGGCTGCCATCATCGACATTATGGACGAGCCTGAGGGTTCAATATTCTACGAGCCGGGTCTGAAGTCGCCACTAGACAATGTTTCCATGCGAGGATCCGTCGATCTACCACGAGCGTCATCCCCAGCCCCACAAGCACACTTGCAGCAAAGCAAAGACAGTCTCAAGCCAAGCATAGCGTCCCTTGGCTTAGTTGGAGAGCCCAGAACACGCGGTGTCTTTGACGATGACCTGTTTGGCGATGAAGAAAGGTTCATGGAGGACGAGATCGATGACCCAGTCCCGAGGAGCAAAGCGGAGGAGGAAGAGATTCACGAGGCGGCGCCTGGAGACCTGGGTCTTGCCGAGGCTATCGATGCGCTTACTGCTGATATTGAGCGCCTGGTATCCCAAGAGTCTATCGTCGACTCGCTTACGTCGAAAGCTGAGTTGACAAACAACGCTGCAGAACTGAGGATCTTGCGAAAATCGAAAGCCAGCCTTCAGCGTGAGATACAGAGGAAAGAGCTACAGCGTCAGCAGTACATCGTTCAAGAAAGCGACAACAGCTTGTACGGACGCGCGACTGTGTTCATTCAATCGATCATGGTCGGCACAGAGGAAGACGGCAAGGAGTATGCTATGTACGTCATCGAAGTACGACGACGTGCTGGCGACCAGATGCCTGCCGCTACTTGGGTCGTCTCACGACGATATAGCGAGTTCCACGAATTGAACAAAAGACTTCGCGCCAAGTTTCCGCAAGTCCGAAATCTGGAGTTCCCGCGCCGGCAGATGATGCTGAAACTTCAAAAGGACTTCCTGCACAAGAGAAGGCTTGGGCTTGAGAAGTATTTAAGGGAGCTCCTACTCATCCCAGCTGTATGCCGCAGCCGCGAACTACGCGCCTTCCTCTCACAAGCTGCGATCAGCCCCGCCGATGCCCTGCGAAATCAGGATCCAAACTCCAACGACTTCGTAACTCGCATCTACAACTCAGTTGCCGACGGCATGGAGGAATTCTTGGGCAACATACCAGTACTCGACCAACTCTCAGTCGCAGGCCAAAACCTCATATCAGCCGCAACCACCCAGCTCGCCAACACAAACGGCGCGACTGCCCAACCCGGCAATCTTTCCTCCTCCGGCGTGCTCGTCGCCGGCGAGCCCAACAACGACGCAGAAGCAGAAGCCGAGCTCCTCGCCTTCGAAAACAAAGAGCTCGAACCCTTCGTAAAACCAATCTGCGACATCTTCCTTGAAACGTTCGAATTGAACCGCGAGAACAACTGGCTCCGAGGCCGCGCTGTCGTCGTAGTCTTGCACCAACTCCTTGGCGGCACCATTGAGCGCAAAGTCCGCGAATCTTTCGACAACCTGCTTTCTGAGAACAATATCGTCAAGTACATCGACACGCTTAAAGACAGTATGTGGCCTAACGGCAGGATGAAAGCCGGTATTGAACGAACCAGCAAAGACAAAGAGAACAGCAGAAAAGCGGCGAGCGAGGTTCTGAGTACGCTGGTACCGGAACTGGCGAGTAGTGTTGTTGGAAGGCAGAATGCGCAGTTGGCAGCAAAGAAGATTGAGGGGACTATTAATAATACACGGTTGAAGTAAGTTTACGGAATGGTTCTTGGGTAGATGATTCTAACGAGGATGCAGTACGCATATTGCCTTTACGCTTCTGGACGAGATGGTGCAGGTTTTGTTTCCGGATGTTGGGACGAAGTAATGTGCATGGGGGAGCATAAATGGCGTTTGAGACTCATCAAGGTGGAGTATTGGATCTTCTTCAATATCATATGGTCTAGGTTCTTCTGCTTGACATATTTGCGTTCCCTGCTCATTCCGTTTCATGAATGGTGGGTGACCACTTGCTCTTTCCTCTTCTTACTCGCATTACGTCATCACAACAAGTCCACCATGGAAGGGTAGCAGGATGGGTCCAACATCATTTTTTAAAGTCGTGAAAAAGGACAAGTGTGTCTGGCTAAAACTTGCTGCACCGCCGAGACTGACTGATGCAGGCGCCCGTACGCTCATGCAAGAATGTTTGCGCTGGACACAGCACTCGCAGCACTGCTGTCTACGTCCGCTCCTCCACCGCTTCACGTCTCACTCTCTCACCTCTCACCACACCGTGCAGGGTTTTTCTGGCGGCTAGCGTCCGCACAAAAGATACAGTTGCTCCTTCCTAGCGGAGACTATTACCGACACAATCTCTACAGCGACGCATCTTCTCACAGATCTTGCTAAAACCTACGCCCGAACCAGCTCACGATGTCCGGACGCGGCGGCGGACACAACCCACGAGGTGGACGTGGTGGAAGAGGTGGCAGAGGTGGAGATCGCGGTCGTGGACGTGGTGGTTCTACCCAAGGCAGGCACGATCGCAACACAAAGGATTCCAAGCCCGCGAGGGCTAAAGAGACGGATGAGCAGAGAGCGGCACGAAAGTCATACAGCTCATGGAAGCGTCGCCTTGGTGAGTCGGAAACTGATCCAACGACCATGCGACGCCTCTGGGAGGGTGCTTTCGGCATACTCGAAGCTAGTGACCGAGACTGGCGACAGCAGCTCCCCCAGGACCTTAACGATGATTCGGACGATGAGAGTGGTCATCGTCACGTCCTCGCCATTCTGAACTCAAAGGTTGTCGGCTCGGACTACGACACCTTCCTCAGCAACGCCCGCCATTTCCTACTTACGCTTACGCATTCCTCACTCCTTCGATGTCTCGCGGTCGACACCCACGTCGGTTCCATCTACAACCTCTTTGGCGGTGTCGGTGGACGCACTGCAGTCTCATATCTCCAGCGGGTTTGTAAGGCTCTGGTGGCAGCTCGAACATCCTCGATATCTGCCAAGGACCACGAAGCGACGCTTCATGCGATGGCGACGGCTCTCTTCGAGCTATTGAGACGTGAGCGCAGAGCTCGGTTCAACGATGAGATCACACCGCTGGTGGACTCCATCCAGGCTGTGAGCGACCTCTACAAGGCCTTAGTATCGCCAGATACCTCAACACGGACAAGCATTCGTCTCAATGATATTCGAGCCCTGGTAGCTAGAGCTCACGGTCTCCTCGCCGAACCCACTGGTGAAAATGGGGTTGGAGACGACAACGATGTTGACGGCCCCGCGTCGTTCTACCCGAGAGACCTCGTAGTGCCCTCAGACCGGTTTGACAACGACAAAAAGGACATTGGCGACGTGGTAATCTTCCCGACCCGAGATGAGATCATGAGCGATGCGAAGGAGTTCCTACCCTATACCGATCCTGACCAACCACACTTCCTTGAGGATCGTGTGCAACGCCACATCGATACCTACTTCCGCCTCCTGCGCCACGATATCTTTGGTGAGCTGAAGGGGTCATTGGCTGGAATCATGCACGCGGTATCTCAAGACTCCAACTTGCTGCTCCACCCCAATCTCAACCTAGGCGATATACGCGCCAATCAGTACACCAGCGCTCGCGTCAGCTACGTCACGCTCGACAAGCGAATGGGGTTGCAAGCTCAAATGGAATTTTTGCAGCCTGCGATAGTCCGCAAGAAGAATGTTAGCCAAAAGGTGAATTGGTGGGAGGATTCAAGGCGATTCGACGAAGGGTCGCTTTTGTCCTTCATATGGATCCAGGACAATGTCGTTCAACACATCTTCCTTACTGTCTCAAATAAGGACACTGATCCAACAAAGGAGTACAGCTTGACACACCACAATCAATTGGCCTACATGACGGCTAGCCTGGTAACACAAGATCGAGCGACGGTAAAGATGCTAATGCAGGCCAACATCGGAGTAGCCCGCGGTATCCTATTGGAGTTTCCCAAAGTCATGCCCGCAACCTTTTCGCCCACTTTGGAGAGTCTACAAGCCATGCAGCGACTCAATCGTCTACCGTTTCGGCAGTGGATCGTCCCGGACAAACACAGTGGCCTCCCGTCAGCACGCAAGATGCACGAAATTCCTCCACCTCTGTACGCGCGCGCGCCTGGCTTCAAATTCCCCGTTACCTCTCTCTTGAAGGATGGAAATAAAGAAGACTCGTTCTTCATCGAACCGACAGCATCATGTGACGATCAGGCGTTACTCGACAAGCTGGAAGCCAAGACAGAACTTGATCGTGGTCAGTGTCGCGCGCTCATCGCTGCGCTAACTCGGGAGTTTGCCTTCATCCAGGGGCCCCCAGGGACAGGAAAGAGTTTTCTGGGCCTTCAAATCATGAGGATACTGCTGGAAATCAAGAAGAAAAGCAATCTCGGACCTATACTAATCGTTTGCTATACGAACCACGCCTTGGACCAGTTTCTCGAACACCTAATCGACATTGGCGTCCACAAGCTCATCCGTGTCGGCGGTATGAGCAAGTCCAAGAAGCTTCTTAACCATAATCTGCGCACCGTTGGCGAATCGGAGACGAAGACCAAGTCCGAGAAGTATATGGCGGCGATGAACTACAAGGATCTGGATCAGAATGAGAAGGAGGCCAAGATGCTCTTTGGTGGTCTTCATGGCTTGTCGAAACGTCCGGACTGGCACAAGCTTAAAGGTTTTATTCAAGAGGAACATCCGAAGATCTACAATCAGTTCCGTTCCGTCGATGACGAGGGCTTCAAGACAGCTGGCCGCCATCCATTCGATGTATGGATCGCCGGTACTGAGGCCTATGGCCAATCTACATTACCTCAGGGCGCGTTACAGCAAATAATTCGCCAGGCGACTACAAACGTGTTTTCGTTGTCATTCCTTGAAAGGAGTGCGCTTGTCGCCTCCTGGGTCTCACAAGCTCAAGGAAACAAGGTCAGCGAGCTTTTCGAAATCGTCAATGGTGCTGCCAAGACCCAACGCCAACTGAGCAATATCCATGAAGAGCGGAACCGACGACTGCTAGAAGAGGCTGACGTCATTGGGGTCACCACATCTGGCTTGGCGAAGCGTATCTCGGTCCTCCAGCAAGTGAAGTGTAAAGTCATCATCTGTGAGGAGGCTGGAGAGGTCATGGAGAGCCACATGATCTCCGCGATGCTTCCCGATATCGAACATCTGATCCAGATTGGTGATCACGAGCAGCTTCGACCCTCAGTCAGCAACTTCCGCGACTTGTCGCTTGAGAGCGAGCGAGGAAAGCTTCATGCACTGGATCGGAGTCAGTTCGAGCGACTCTCAATTGGTGAGCCCGGGCGGCCTCTGATGCCCGTTGCTCAACTGAACGTACAGCGTCGAATGCGCCCGCAAATCTCTTCGCTGATTCGCGAAACCATCTACGATAAGCTCAAGGACCATCTGTCTACCATGGAGCTGCCGGATGTTGTTGGTATGCGCCGCAATGTCTTTTGGCTCGACCACACCAACTTCGAAAACGAGAAGGGTGCAGATGCACACGATACGAAGTCCAAGTCCAACTTGTGGGAAGTCAAGATGGTGCATGCTTTGGTCCGGCATATCGTTCGGCAGGGCGTCTACAAGCCTGATGATATCGCAGTTCTGACCCCATACACTGGCCAGCTTCAGAAGCTCCGCGGCGCTATGAGTAGCGATTTTGAGATCTGCCTCAGTGATCGCGATCGAGAAGCGCTTGAGAGGGACGGTTTCGCAGTAGAAGATGACGATACATCGAAGACCGCAATATCCGCCCACGAAAGCTATCAAGGGAAGCCGCTGGAGAAGAAGCAATTGTCGGAGTTACTGAGAGTCGCTACTGTCGACAACTTCCAAGGAGAAGAGGCCAAGATCATCATTGTCTCTCTTGTACGAAGCAATGATAGACAGAATGTCGGCTTTCTCAAGACGACCAACCGTATTAACGTCTTGCTCAGTCGCGCTCAACATGGCATGTACCTCATCGGTAATGCAGACACCTACTCTAGCGTCGAGATGTGGCAGAAGGTTATCGGAATGCTACGCGCGACCGAATCAGTTGGGAAGACCCTGGCTTTGCGTTGCCCTCGGCACCCTGATACCGACGCTCAAGTGCAGCAACCCGACGACTTTCATAAGCTGAGTCCTGAAGGTGGCTGTAGGGAAGCGTGCGCCGATCGCCTCGACTGCGGCCATCAATGTGGGGCCCGATGCCACTCGGAAGCCATGCATGAGGTTTTCCTCTGCGATCAGCCGTGCCAGCGCCGGCATCAGCCATGCGATCATGCATGCCAGAAGGCTACATGTGGAGAGCCTTGTGGAAAGTGTATGATATTGATGGACCACGTACAGCTTCCATGTGGTCATGTCAAGCACGGCGTCGCCTGCCATCTCACCCAGAATCCTGCTCGCATACCCTGCGACGTCAAGATCTCGAAGCGTGTACCTGGCTGCGAGCACGATGTAGTCTTGAAGTGCTCGGTAGATGTCTCCAAGAAAGACTTCAAGTGTCCTACACTGTGCAACACACCTCTGTCGTGTGGTCATCCATGCCCCGGAACCTGCGCTCAGTGCAATACCAAGGATATGTACGATCAACCAGTGGTCAAGCACGCTGCTTGCAGGAAGACCTGTGGTCGAAAGCATGGGACCTGCAATCACGACTGTAATCGCCGATGTCACGATGGTACGGATTGCGGTCTTTGTCAAGCGCCTTGCGAAGTAAGTGATACCTATAAATTTTGTGACACTTCTCTAATCTCATTCAGGTACGTTGCAAACATACCAAGTGTCCACAGAGGTGCCACGAGCCCTGTGCTCCGTGCGTTGAGCCTTGTACATGGTCCTGCGAGCATCAAGGCGATTGCAAGATGCCTTGCTCGGCCCCGTGTAGCCGCTTACCATGCGACGAGCGATGCACCAAGCTTCTCCCGTGCGGCCATCAGTGTCCAAGCATCTGCGGTGAAGCATGTCCAGTCGATTATTGTCAAGATTGTGGCATGAAGCCAGACGAGCAGCCAGACATGATCATGATGTCTCGTTATGCTGATGTCGATCTGAATGAATCCCCCATCGTCGTTCTCGGTTGCGGTCATTTCTTCACCACTGAAACTTTGGACGGACTAGTCAGCCTCAAAGACGTGTATAGCGTCGATGCGAAGACGGGCGCCTTTACCGGACTGATTGAAGACGCTGAGCTTTCCGCATCGATTCCACAATGCCCTAATTGTCGAGCGCCTGTCAAGCAGTATGTTACCCAGCGCTACAACCGGCTCATCAACCGAGCTGTCATTGATGAGATGTCCAAGCGCTTCATCGTCAACGGTCAACAAGATCTGCAGCAACTAGAAGGCCAGCTCATGGAAATCAGGAAGGAGCTCGAAAAGTCGCGCATGTCGGTTGTTCCTGATAAGCCAGTCCAGCTCCGCGGTCAGGAAGCTCACGAGTTCACCATGCAGTCCATCAACGACGAGATCAATAATCGCGCACGGGACACCGTTAAGCTACTGAACGCAGTTAAGGCCTTCCAGTATAGAATGGGTATCCGACATCAACCTACGTACAAGCTGCACCAGGCGACCGTGCATAGTATGGCGCGAAGTGAACCACTGGATGTTGAGCTCGCAAGGTTGACGATCGACTCTTCCGAAAAGACTGCCAAACGCGATCGCGACCAACGCATCACCCTCGGCGGCGGCCTGCTCGAGATCAAGGTACGCTGCTTAGTGCTAGAGGAGAACTTCGAGATCATGCGTACTGTGGATCAGAAGCATTTCCAGAGTACCTTGCCTCTCAACTTTCCCAGTGGGTCGCCCGTCGCAAAGACAGATCAGTTCCTCAAAGACGCGAGGAGGCTCATCGATGACTGCACACGTGAGAGTTTGCCTAAACTTGCGGTTGAGGCTACACTGCACTACGCTCGAATCGCCCAGTTCTTTGGTGGTGCCCAGTCTGGTCTGAACAACGATCGCGAAAAGGCCATGAATTACCGCAATACCGCTAAGGACCTGTTGTCAAAGGCGGACACGCTTTGTGAGAGTTCCTTCAGTGGACGGGACAACTTGCGACAAGCTGTCGTCGCTGCATCGAAGATGCTCAGCAAGGAGTTCTACGAGGCAGTGTCCAAGGAAGAACTGGAATCTATCAAGAAGGCCATGGTCAGTGGACGTGGCGGTATTGCGACTCACTCTGGGCATTGGTACAAGTGTGTGAACGGCCATCCAGTAAGTTTGTCCTCTCCGATCTGAAATATCACAATCTAACACAGTGCAGTTCGCCATTGGAGAATGCGGTATGCCCATGCAGCAAGCGCGCTGTCCGGAATGCGGTCAGCCCGTCGGTGGCCAGAACCATACTGCCGTCGCTGGAGTATCACGCGCCAGGGAGATGGAGGATTGAGGAAAGATGGATTGGCACGTCGGTGATATTGCGAAGCTATGTGCATCGTTCCAGCCTCATCTAAAATGTTCTGTCGGTAGATGAGTGCCGTAGATCTCGATTATCTTCGCCCAAGCTCTTGAGATGTAGCTGTATACGCTATCATAATGCATCAGCAATTCCGAGAAACGTACTATCGTTGCAGAAGTCGTTCGTGAATCGCGTTGTGGTTGAAACGATAGTACGTAATAAAGCGCGATAGCGAGACCCGCGCTTTATCTTTGACCCTGACTACCAACGGTCCTCATCGGCTTCAACCAGATCCAGTCCTGCGCCGTGGACGAGCACTTGTGAAAGTAACCAGCAGCCGTTATTCGACGGTGGAATGACCAAAAGAACATGTGTTCCGTTATAAACGAAATGTGTTATGCAGATCAACCATGATGGCCAAGTTCACGATGTCTTGACGGCAGATGGGAAAACGGCGCTTGGTGTTCTGCTATCTGGGCAGTAGTGCCGAATTGCCGGCGACTAATTGCGATGTGCAGTGTCGCTTGTCAGTCTTCAGTTTGGCAATCCTCCCTTGGCATATCGCGACGAACTATGGGATTGGCGATATTCCATACACTTCGTACCTAGAGAAGCACCTCCGCCTGCATGCCGTGAGCGCACTCATGACGCAGCGCAAACCACGCACGCGACAAAACGAGGCTGCGAAGAACACGATATGCACCTCATCCGTCCCTGCAGCACACGAATTGAGGCCATGTGGGCTGCCCTGGAGACGGCAGCGCAAACCCCTGCCATGCTTAAAAAGTGGAAATTTGACCCTTCCACTAGCGACGTCGCTGGCCGCTCTGATTGGCCTACTGAGAAGCTTCTCCGCGCTTCAAGGAGATGAGACACCTTGCCCTGAGCGCCGCCAACCGCCATCGCACGCCGGCGACTCTATCGCGTGATCACGATCCCGTCGTGTTTGGAGTTGTCATGGCCATCCAGCGGGCGAACAAACGGGGGTGCTTGCAAAAGAAAAGAAACCGTCAAACTGTCAAACGTCGCAAGAAAACTGGAGGGCCCCCAACCAAACAGAAACAGGACAGCATAAAGGAGTTACCGCGATCAGCGAATCACTTTCGCTTGCGCTGCCAATATCCCCATTCCAATTACCATTTTGCGTCGCCCGCCTCAGGCCCCGTCACAAGATTGGTGTAGTAATCTTATTTTTTTCCCCATCCGTTAGCCGCTTTTCCCACTTGCCCCCGTCCCCCCAAGGGGACAACCACACAGGCGAGCAAACCTATCGTGAAGGGAGCGCGCGTGAGCCCTGTGCCCGTAGTTTCAAATACAGCCGGGGATCCTCCCTTCTCATCTCTCGCTCTCACTTCGTTACCGCAAACCTTTACGCTCATTACACTTTTTTGCTCCCTGCAGTTTTTACTGTCAGTTTGTCTGTCGCGTCGTCATCATCAAGCAGACTTTCTCCACACTCTCTTATTAAACTCAACGTGTCTGTCGGTCCGTTGCTGTCCAGCACGTCATACGAAGCCTTAAACACACTCGCTGTAATTACGATCATTCAACACGAGACAAGACTATCAAGATGAAGTACAACACTATCACGTTGGCGTTGGGTGCGCTTGCTATGGGCGTGAGCGCTCAGGGTGTTGCGTAAGTTTGCCCTGTTCTCCACATCTTTTCATATCTGCGGTTGCTGCCTCACCCGCAAACGCAACGCGACTACCACGCGGCTTACCCGCGATAATCATCATGACTACAATGTAGATCCATGCTAACATGCTGGTGACGTAGGCCCGAAGTCCAGTCCTCCGTCCTCATGGAGCTCGCGCAGGCGATCCCTTCCGACCAAGTCGCCTATGCGATCGCCTCGTCGTCTGCGTTCGCCGCTGAGATGGCTTCCTCGCTCGCCGCTGGCAACACACCAGCCTGGTACCAGGCGCTCCCCACCGACGTCCAGAGCCTGCTGCCCGAGATCTACCCGGCCATGGTTACACCGACACCTACTCCTACTCCTACCCCATCGTCGTCGTCGTCGAGCGCGTACGTCGCGAAGAGCAGCAGTGTTGTTGAGACATCCAGCTCCGCCATGGTTACCCCTTACCCCACTGGAAGCAACAGCACCATGGCCATGCCTACCATGAGCGCCACCGGCAGTGTCACCGTCTCACTGAGCCCCAGCGGCAGTGCTTCGCCCTCCCCAGAGACCCCTCCTTTCGAGGGTGCCGCTTCCAAGATGTCCGTCGGCGCTGGTCTCGGCGCCGCAGTCATGCTTGCCATGCTCGCTTTGTAGACATACCTTGTGGCGTGTCTATAAACTTTGCTACTGTACCTTCGTAGCACTGGACCGCTGAGTACGGGTAGCGGCTGGTTGCTCCTTTCTTCACTCTAACGTTTCTTTACGACGCGATGCTCTTATCCTTCTTGGGGAAAATGATTCGCAATATACCTTTTTGACTTTTTTGGTGCTTGACGAGGGGAGGAGGGAAAGATAGGGTGGATTGATGCATCTTTATGCGGTGGTGATTCCGGCTGGGATTGTCGTTGTTTACGCTGGTTTGGTGGATTCTAGGACGTGGACGTGGCCGGATGGATGATGGATGGTGGGTAGATAGTAATCCGTAGTAGCTTAATATTTAATCAGTCGACGCAGAAGATGGAAGACCCAGCCAGATATGTGAGCCCGAAGATGAAGAGACGTTCAAGG